AAAAAAGAAGAAGCTAAGGTATTGCCACGTCACCACTGCAGACCATTTAAGCATAGCCACTGGAAGCTCCATCCCAGAGAACTACCTAGGGTTTCCAGATAAGAAGTAAGAGAGCCGGAAAAAACTCTGTCTTAGTTTTTATTTTTGTTTTTTGTTTTGTTTTGTTTTTCTGTTGCTGTGATAAACATTCATCCTGAAGGTCAAAGGGCTTACTTTTGCTCACCGTTTGAGGGTATAGCCCTCTGTGGCGGGGTTGTCCTGACATCAGGAGCTTGATGCAGCTGGTCACATTGCATCTGGAGTCGGGAGGGACAGATGGATGCTGGCGTTCTCGTTTTCTTTTTGTCTTCCAGTCGTCGCATGTGTGTGCATGTCTTGTGTGTGCTTGCTTATGTGTCTACATGTACACGTGTGGAGACCGGAGGTTGTTGCTGGGAATCAATCCTCTTATTCACTGAGGCAGGGGCCCTCAATCAAACCAACAGCTCCTAGGTAAGGTTACTCTCAGAAGGCAGGCTGCTCTGAGCATCCTCTGTGTCCACCTTCTAAGGCTGGGATCACAGGCGGGCCGGCATGCCCTCCGGGTATTTACAAAGCTTTCTGGGGAATCTGGAAGTGCTTTAACCGCTGAGCCGTCTTCCTGACTCCACTTTCTCCTCTCTAGTCTGTCCAGGATGCATACCCAAGGAGTGGGCTACCACAGTGAGCTAGCCTTTCTACAGCTGATGTAATCAAGACGATCCCCTCAGGCATTCTCACCCACTGGTCTTCCAGGAGCTTCTAAAGTTGAAGATTAACGCTAGCACTCACCAACTTGGACTTTTGAGGGCCACTGCCTGTGGGCCGCTCGCGGAGCTGGCAAAGCAGACAGAAGGGCCATAGCCAACAGGAGTCTGGAAAGTGCAGCACCTGCGTGTAGGAGGAGCAAGGACCATGGCAGGCACAGCATTCACCCTGTCTCTTAGGAAAAGTGAGCCTCTCTTCCACTCACTGAAGCATCTGCCATGGTGAACGCCGAGGTTCCGGTCTGAGGTCCTCAAAGTCCGTTCGGCATCTTCTGGACCCCAGGCAGTGTCCGAGTGTCCTGTGGTAGACTCCAGCAAAGCTTGCTTAGACTTGATGATTATAGTCTCACAGTCTCTCTGTTGGTTTTTTTCATCTGTGGTTTGTCATTGCTTTTAACAGAGACCTTCAAACATCACTTGGCTCTGTTTGTTTTACCGTCTCAAGCTGGGGGGCTAGGTACGAAAATCAGGCAAAAGATATTCTCTGCTCAGAAGTTCTTGATAAAGCCACAAGGGCCAGTACCTGGAGAGGTGGTGTGAAGGTTGAACAAGGTATTGTGTCACGTGAGTGTGATGGTCAATCTGGTCAACTTGATAGACTGAAACACACCTATGAAATTAGGAGCTCACACTCCTGGGTGTGTCTGCTAAGGGCCTAGAGACAAGCAGAGCCTAAGGGCTGTCACCTACTGGGTGGTTCATCCATACATAGACTCGGAGTTTTTATAACTTATTAGGAAATGGTAGACTATGGAAGGTGGGCCTGCCTGGAGGAAGTGGGGTGCTAGGAACATACCTTCCAAGAGTGGCCATCTGTGTTCCATCTGCTTCCTGGATACTACAAGGAGAACCTCTTTCTTCTACTGCTCCCTGCTTCTGTGCTATCTCTGCTGTGTGATGGGCACCCAAAGGAGAGAGCCGCCATCCACTTGTGAGTTAAAACTGGGTCCAGGAGCCAGAGAGAATCCTTCCTTCCTTAAGTTGTTTATTTCAATCATTTTGTTGCAACAGCGAAACACTAAGCAACATGGCAAGTTTGGAGAGCTTTGCAAAGCGTCACCCTCTTTTGAGTGACCGCAAAGCACGCAGGCATGTTAGAGGCTCTGGGAAGGTCCCGCGGGAAAAGGCTTCTGTTTAACGGTCTTACCCAGGACTTCCCAAACCTATTTGACACTGGAACTTTTTGTACCAAATTGCTTTTATTAACACCCCAGGGAGCTAGAATCCCATGGCATACACTTGGACAATGCTGTTAGGTTTGCCATCCAGTGGACTGGTGACTTGAACTGATCAGGAAGGCGCTAACACACCACCCAACAGACATCTCCTGATTGGAGCTAAGCTGAAACAGTCTCGCTGGCTTTCCTGACAGAACCCACACCATCGGCTCTCTTCAGTCTCCAGTTTGCCGTTACGGACTCCTCAGCCCCCATAAATCCATTATCCAATTCCTCACAATCAATTAATTATTCTACTGGTTCTGTTTTCTCTGGAGAACCCTGTCTAATTGGATTTTGGTAGATAGGTCCACTGGGCCTGAAAGTTCAGACTAATGAGTGAACGGATGACCGTGAAGGTTGTTTCCCATCCTGCTTGTTGTTCTCCAGCTTGGAGATGTAGCCAACATCAGTCAGGAGTGCTCTGACTTCAGAAATACGGAAATTATACAGTCCGCCAAAATGAATATATTATAAACTTCGATGGGAAAAAATCCAAACGGCAGAAACACTGATACAGTGATTGCACTTTGTTTTAAAGCTAATTTTATTACAAAAATTGTCTTGAAGTCGTTCCTCTGGACTTTGCCCATAATCATTGCATGTTGAGTTCTTACAGGGAATCAGCAGATGGCTCTTTAATGAACCAACAGTGCACGACCAAGAAGTGTAGAGGCTGGTGTTTATTTTCAGATCAAAGGGAGAAAAATTAAGCCCAGAGGTACTTGTTTTCCGGAAAAATCACACTCTTGTGTGTTAGGGTGACAGGAATCTTCTTGATTTCACAATTTTCTCCTACCCGCCCCATTTACTCCCACACTAATCTGAATCTATAAATAGGGTTAAACATTGCTCTTCTGAGGCTGGGCGTGTTGCTCGGTGGTAGAGCAATTCACTTAGCTTGCAAGAGGCCCCGAGTTTGATTCCAGGATGAGCAAAAGTCAGTGATAAATACATAGTACCTCTTGGCTATTTGCAACAAGGCGAACTAGCTACTTTTAATTAAAAGGTTTCCAAAAAGCCTCATTCCAAACAAAGGGTGTGGCCTTTCTATAAAGAATGCCTTGCTGTAATTTACACCCAAGAAAAAGACGTAAGCCAAGAAGAATTGAGGGACTGCCTCACTTTGACTGCAGAAAAAAGCCAGGGTTAAAAATATCTGATGGTTTTGTTCCTTCCCTTTCACCTTTCTGTACCCCTCAGAACTTTAAAAAAAAAAAAAGAAAAGAAAAAAAGAAAAAAGATGCCAGCCAACACGTGAGGCCAAGCCTGCAGAATACTTGATCTCACCTCTCCTAGCTTCCTGATTGCCCGTGGTACAGTTCTGGAAACACCTGATATTGAAATGCTGTCGTGTGGACAATCCGCCATCTAGTGGCCAGAGTGAGAATTGCAAAAACAGCTTTCGGAGTTATTTGCCAAAACTGGCCTTCAGACCAAAGTTATTTATGCCAATAATTCTTAGGCTTTGCTTCACATTATAACGTCTCAGGGAGCTTGTAAAAGTCTGATGCCAAGGCTATACCCGCATACCAATTAAGTCGGAGTTCCTGGGAATTGCAATGGATTGTGCTTGTGACCTGCGTTCTTTGCAACCAAAGCAGTTGATTAAAACAAAGAGTCAGGCGGTATCTTGTATTTCTGAGAGATACTGTGTGTGCTGATTTCTTCTCCCTTCTCTCTCCTCTGCTTTTTATTTCCAGACAAGATCTCGTGTGCTTCAGGCTGGTCTTGAGTTTCTGATACTCTTGCCTCCACTTGACCCTCCCCTCCCCCACTCATTGCTAGAATTATAGGTGTGCACCACCAGGCATGGTTTTGATTTTCTCCCTTCCTCCCTCCCTCCTTCCCTCCCTCCCTCCCTACATTCATTTTTTCTTTTTATTTCATTTTTTAAAACGGGACCAATATACAGAACACTAGATAGGTGGCAAGCACAAACTTAAAGTTTAACTTCTTGGAGCGCAAACATGTGCTTAACCAAGACACATCTGCCACGAGGACCTTTGGTGACTGATTCCTATGACTCACTGGATCACTGTGTAGGTTCCATGAGAATCACTGTGTGTTGTGGTTTGAATGTAAAATGTAGACCCTTGTCCCACCTTTGCTTTTGTGATTGAATATTCAGTCCTCATACAGCGGTGCAGTTTGGGGAGGCTCTGGAACTTTTGCAGCCAGAGACCTAGTTGGCACAGGACCCAGTGCCATATGGGCAGAGCTACAGAGGCATAGCACGCTGGCTTCTTGACCTACGGGGCTTAAGGAAATCGTGCTACAGACTTCCACCACTCCAGTCTGGTGTCGTGGGCTGATGAGCAGCTGTCCGACGGCGTGCACCCCTCAGAGTGTGGACTGAAATACATAACATAGCAGTGAGAAAGTTAACCACACACAATGAACCACTTAGACCTGACCTGACTGCACAATAAATTCTATTTAGATGAATTTTATTAGGAGTCTATAACATTACCTTTCACTTGCTTTTTTGAAAGATTTATTTTTATTTTTAAATTACATCTATGTGTGTCTGCGCACAAGAGTGCAAGTACCCATGGAGGCAAGAGGCATCAGATCCTCTTGAGCTGGGGCTGCAGGCAGTTTGAGCTGTCCAAAGTGGGTGCTGGGGACTAGGCATTCTATAGATTCTCTCCACTGTTGGGTCATCTCTCCAACCCTTTAACTTGAAACTTTTTAAAATGCTATTTTAAAAATTACATTTACTTAGTGTGAGTGTGTGTGTGTGTGTGTGTGTGTGTGTGTGTGTGTGTAACCTGTGCATGCACACACATGTACTTCGGAAGGTATGTAGAAGTCAGGGAACAACCCAAGAAAGTTATTTCTCTCACTCACAACGTGGGTTCTGGAAATTGAACTCAGGTCGTCAGACTTGGTGGCAGGTCCCTTTAACACCAAACCATTTCTCTGGCCCACTTTTGGAAATTAATGTTACAGGCACCCCATAAAACTAATGGTACTTCTAACTTCTTTCCAACAGGTGTGTGGAAACTGTCTATGGATACATGTCCCTTGACGTCTGGCCTCCACCAGGATATTGCCTGGGTTAAATTCCACATATCTCACCCTGAAGGCAGCACTGTGAGCTTCCTTCAGCTGAAGCAAGCCCTCCTCCATCTCTTCTATAACGTCGTATGTACGGGGCTCATCGAGCAATTTAAATCTTTCAAAATGATAGGTGAGGAGTGTGAACATGTTTGTTGGTGTACGTTGTTTTTCCCTAGCAGGCAGAAGGGAACATCTTCCCACAGGAGAGCAAAAACTTGCCTTCTACTTCCTGAAGGTTTGATAATTAAGTCTCTGAATTGGACAGTAAAAGAGTCAACAAGTGGCAGACTTTGTAATTATGTTTGTACCTATGCATGTTCTACATAACACTGGATTTAAGGGTAGGGTGGTTAAAACTTTATATATATATATATATATATATATATATATCTCACAATACATATGTACATTATATATTATGTTATATGTTTGTTATTTGTTATATGTTATATGTTATACATTATATCACACATATATATGTGTATATATGTTTATATATATGAAAAAATGTATATCAATGTCAAATATATATATATATCAATGGCAAGGCAAGGTTTCACATTGTGGTCCAGGCTGGCCTAGAACTCACTTTGTGACCCAGGCTTGCAACTGATGAATTAAAAGTGTCGCCCACTAGTGAAGCGGGGTGGTGGCATCAAACTCATAACACTTTTCCTGTCTCAGTCTCCTGAATGATAGGATTACAGGCAGAAGTCACCACATCCAACTTTGGTTAAAGCCCAGTGGAACCCTGAGCAGTGAAAAGGAATGGGGGTGGGGCGGTAACAACGTGAGGGGGGTGAGGGAGGTGATTGTGTAATGAATGAAGCTCTGGTGTGTGGATAAAAAGTGCCTACCTTAGACAAATCCTTTCTCTAATGTCAACTTTTCTCTAAGTTTCTTTGACCCAAGGAAAGACCTCAGAGTCTGCAGCCAGAGTCTCTCAGATAGGCAGCTGGAAACTTGCTGCAGAGTCTTGTTTTAGGGCAGTGTAACCTGTTTTATTAGCAGTGCTCCACAGCTGGGTCTGTGTATTGCCTAGCCACCCTGGTCCACTAGTGGCTGCCATTTTTAATTCATCGGTTGCAAAGAGCTAGTAGTCCATCAGTTAATAGTGTGCAGAAAGCTGATTTTATGTTTTAATTTTTTATCAACAAATTTGTATTTCCTCCTTATGAATTCTAGCTTTTCTGCATTGCACCCCCACAACAACCCCACACTAGCTTTTCTGCATTGCACCCCACAATCTCCATTCCCACTATCTTGAGCTAATGTCAATTTTCTCCTGATTCTGGTTTTTTTTTTTTTTTAATGTTTTAGATCCAGGCTAACCCATTCAAGATATTACTTGTGGTTGATGTTATTTTTCAAGTCAACAACCAGTTACAGTAACAGCACAGATTAAACAAATGAACAAGCTATCTCTCTGCCCTGCACTGAAATGATATCTTTCTTGTGCTTTGCCTCTGAATGGACTGGACATGATTGCACACGGCTTTCAGCCCAGCACTCTGGAGGCAGAAGCAGGTGGAATTCTGTGAGTCTGAGGCCAGCCTGGTCTACAAAGAGAGTTCCAGGACAGCCAGGGCTACATAATGAGACCCCCATCTTGAAATACAACCAACAAACATTGAAGTGCGTCTTGAATGGCTTTTATACTTCTTGGTCTCCTAATCTACAAACTTGTTGTGTCAAAGCCCTGCAGCTATCATGTGATTATATCAGCTTGGTCCAGAGTTTTAGCATCTGGCACAACTGTTCTACATCAGTGTTTTTCACAGACAAAATGTTGCTCGTGAAACGGAAATATTTAGAATTGCTTCGACATAAATGTTAAAGGCTTTATAGGACCCAAGAAAAACCCCGTTGACGTTCTGATTAAAATTAAGGTTCTTATCCCTTTGGAAATCGCTGACACTTGTGGTTATTAATCCCTATGATCCAAGGGCATTTCACACTTCCCTGTTAGTTCAAATGTGGCTTTTATAACCTGTAACAAAATGTCATGATTTTCTTTAAGAAGCTCCTTTAACTTCTGATATTTTAACAGCTAACTTTACAATGTAATAAAAATAGAAATTCCCCAAAGAACTGAACGTAAGCACCCCATGTTCCCTGACTGTGTTGGGTGTCATTATCATCATTTTATCTGTTATTATCTTTACTTGTCCTTATTAAATAAAATCATAGAAAAGATAAACCTTTTAAAGACTGCACACTGGTGAAACTTACCACAGTGTCAATATTGTGAAGATCTTGTGTCTCCCCTAAATGGCTCTATCAATGCGCTGTAGTAAAAATTCTAGGAGACTGTGTATATAAATTTACAAGTTGACTGTAAAACATATGTGGAAAAAACAAAACACCAAAAATGGCCACACAGATCCTGACAGGGTTTTACACTAAAGGGTACCAAGATTTGTAAGGATGCTCTGACTGAGAGAATACCGAGTCTAGACAAGTGTCCAGCAGAGCCGAGCGCTGAGAAGCTCACACACTGTCCACGTCTAACAAAGTGACATAATGACATTCTCATTTCATTTTGTTGTTGAGGTAAAACTCTGAGACCTAAAGCAACTTTAGGGACAAAGGGTTTATTTGACTCAGTCTTAGGTCACATCTGATCACTGAGGGAGGTCAGGTCAGAAACCAAAGCCCTGGAGAAGGACTTCCATGGAGGAAGTCTGCTTGCCGGCCTGAGTCCTGGCTCCCTTCAAGGTGCATGAGAGCTAGTTTTCTTGTTTATTTTTACATGATTTTTTAAAAATCTGTTTTTAAGCTGGGCAGTGGTGGTTCATGACTTTAAGCCCAGTACTCAGGAGGCAGAGGCAGGATCTCTGTGAGTTCAAGACCAGCATGGTCTACAGAGTGAATTCTACAACATCCAGGGCTACACCGAGAAGCTTTGTCTCAAACAAACAAACAAACAAACAAACAAACGAAAAACAAAACCATTTTAAAATTAAATAGAATTACATCACTCCCTCCTTTCCAGTACTTTCGAGCTATCTTCTTTCAAAACCCTCTCATGGCTCTCCACTCTGGAGTTAATAGTCCCTTTATTAGTGTCATATATATAGGTATATGTGTATATGTAATGTGTATGTATGCACAAATACATATATAAATACAATCTGCTGAGTCTTTTTATTCTTGTTTGTTTGAATATGGTTTCAAGGCTGTCCACTCAGCCTTGGACAACCAGTCAGAGGCTCATCCGTGGGTCAGGCTGACTCTCCTTCTCCCAGTAGTCACTACTTGTCTGTAGTCCTTTGTCTAGGGTGGGACCCCAGGAAAGTTTTCCCTTCCATATTAACTTTCCGCCCACACTGCCTCTGTTCCTGCCTTGCATATGCAGCCAGGCCTATGAGAGGCTGATTCACAGCAGACTTCCTAGTATTTTGGCCCTTGAAGTCTTTCTGATCGCTCTTCTATGATGTCCCCTGAGCTGAAGAATCAGGAGCTGTGATACAGATGTATACAACTGGGGTTATGTCCCCTCCCCCAAATCTGTCACTCCCTACAGTGAAACCAGTTGTGGTTTTCTGGGATGCTTTCCATTTGCTCTAAAGAGAGGCTTCTTTGGTGAACGGTGGTAGCTACATTTACCTGTGAGCATAAGGCTAAGATTTAAAATGTAGGTTATGCTGTTCTAGCAAAATGATGGTGGCAGATTGTTTTCTAAGATCCATGACCTCACTAGCTCTGGGTAGCTGGCTAGGTTTCCAGTGCGGAGCATGGTGTCCCTCTTGTTGATGGAGCCCTATGTCCAATTAAGTAGCTGTTGGTCTTTTCATTAAGCAGTGATGGGTCAGTTCAAAATCAGTGTAGACAAAAGTGATGTTTACCTCCATAAACACTTTTTATGAAAATTAATTCCAGATTTGTGTAGGTATAGATACGAAAGCTCAAACAAGAAGACAAGTAAGATAACACAGGGAGATCCTTGTGATCTTGAAATAAGCAACTATTTCATAATCAGAATACAAAACCAAAATCTCTAAAGTAAAATATTGATAAACTGACCTATATTAAAATTAAACATTTCTTGGAGTTGGAAGTATGGCTCAGTGGTTAAGAACACTTGATATTCTTATAGAGGACTCAGGTTTTGGTCCCTGTACCCACATGGAGGCTCATAACCACCTGTAACTCCAGTTCTAGGGGATCCAATGCCCTCTTCTAGCCTCTGTGGGCACTACACTCACATGGTACAGCACACACACACACACACACACACACACACACACACACTCACACACATTTATCTTTTTTAGAAAAGATTTTCTGCCTGTCAAAACTCAATTAGTTGGTTCTACACTCAGAGAACCAATATATGAATGATTATATATCGTTATATTTTTAAAGATTTATTTATTTTTATTTTATGTTTGTATGACTATTTTAGCCGTGTGTGTGTGTGTGTGTGTGTGTGTGTGTGTGTGTGTGTGTATCATATATATTCCTGATTCTGTTGGAGGCCAGAAGAGGGTATTGAATCCCTTGTAACTGGAGTTACAAACAGTTGTAAGCCACAGTGTATGTGTGTGCTGGGTGGTGTTCTAGAAGAGAAGCCAGTGCCCTTAACCACTGAGCCATCTGTCTAACCTTGCATAGAACATCATATTAATGGAGGGAGCCAACACAATTATCTCAGTTCAGGAAAATCATTTAACAATATCCATCATATTTTTTTAAAAGATGAAACCATACACACACATACAGAGAGAGAGAGACAGAGAGACAGAGAGACAGAGAGACAGAGAGACAGAGAGACAGAGAGAGACAGAGAGAGAGAGAGAGAGAGACAGAGACAGAGACAGAGACAGAGACACTGAAACTCAATAAACTAGCAATAAAAAAAGGATTATCTTTAATCCAATAAAGGACACATAAAAATCCAAAAGTTACATCAAAAAGTTATGTCAAACTTAAGAAAGACCTAAATGGTGAAAATGACAGAAGCCCAAAGATTCACCAAAGACCAGAAAGAGAAGAATGTCGGTTCTCTCTGTTTCTACTCAGTGTTGTTCTGAGTCTGTACCCAGCAGGATCGGCAGGCAAGAAAGTGAAATTGCATAGACGTGGTGTTGACAGAGAAGATCTGAAGGAATCTATCCCAGAGTGAGACACTGGAGTAAATGTTCAATGGCTTCACAGGATGTAAGATCAATGAACAAAAATCCAGTTGTATGTCTACACTCTAATGCTAATGGATCTGAAAATTAAATTAAGGCAACGATTGCCTGGACGCTGACATCACAGAGAGTGACATTTAGGAGCAAATTAAACGAAAGAAGGGCAAGATTTGTATCATGAAAACTTTAATATCCTGACTACTATGTTAAAGAGTGTGTAAAGAAAGATGGTGTTGAAAGCAACCTCTCCTTGTGGACTAAAACATCTCAAGTTGTTAAGATGCAAGAGTCTACAAATTGTTCAATATTTTGTTCAGAAGTTAAAAATCTGGAAATCATGTGGAATTTTATGTTTTGAGACAGGAGAGTCAGAAAGATTTTAAGGAAAAATAAAGCTGGGGGATTTAGTTCCTCATATCGAAGCTGTAGCTTTGACAAAACTCTGACAACGACTTGGTTGTTCTGATGTCGTACGGCTGTGTGTATCAGTGCATGGAATTCAGAGGCAGGAAAAGCATATCTATAGTTGATCAGGTTTTTTGCACACAGTTGATCAGGTGGTAAATGGTGGGAAAGAAGGTCCTTTCCAAAATATTGCTGGGACTCGAACACAAGGGACAAGATTAGATCCCTACTGTGCTAGTTATGTCAATCATTGCTACGACAAAACACCAGAGCAAACCCAGCATGACAGAGAGAGTTTATTTTGGCTCACAGTCATTGTAGCCAGGAAACCATGACGTCCGATCAGAGAAATGTGGGTGCCAGACCTCTCGTTTTCTCCTTTTTATTGAGTAGCCTAAGGCCCCAGGCTACAGTGCTACCCACATTCTGTATCTTTCTATTGCAGTCAACTCTCCCTGCAAATGCCCTCGTGGGACTCCTAGGCCATACCATGTGGAGTCAAGCTGACAGCTTTAACCATCACACTTACCTTACATTATACCATAAACAAACTGAAAATGGATCATAACGCTAAAACATAAAACCTTCAAAATAGAAAACCTAAAAATCATGGCCGTGATTCCTTTGCTATGATGCTTCAAACACAAATAAGCAAAGAACAAGATACACATGTTAGATTTCCTGAAAATGAAAACCTAGCTCATGACTCTAGAGGTCATGGGCCCTAGGAGGGAATCTCACATCGTCCTGCTAAATGGACATGTTGTCAAACTGCCTCCTGAATATCGGTGCTCACACCTGTAGATTAGTGCTGCGCTCAGCCTTTGCCAGAGAAGCTTTCTGCAGGAGACAACGCAGAAAGCTGTACTGAGAGTAAGTGGCTGTTGAGCACTTGATTCTAAATCAAACATCTGTATCAACGCTCACAGGGCTCAGGGAGCATCTCTGAAGAGTGGACAGGAGATGCAGAGACAGGTGTGAGATACTAACTTCTGCACATCCATGATGAGACCATATACTCATAAATTCACAGGGCCTATTGCTACCTACACAAGGTTAGATAACAAGAGCCATCAGCACTCCTGCAGGCAGTGCCTGCCGATGGACAGAGTGGGTCACAAGGAATAAAAAAGAGGACATGCCCTTTTACCCACTTTAACCCCAGCACTTGGGAGGCAGGGGAAGGCAGATCTCTGAATTCAAAGCCAACCTACTATACAGAGCAAGTCACAGGACAGCCTACAGGGATGCACAAAGAAACCCTGTTCCCTATCTTCCCCCCCAAAAAAAAAAGACATGAAGGTGGGTGGGGAACATGTTGGGGTGTCTAGGTGGACTGAAAGGGAGATTAGGGTGAGAATGAGTAAAGAATAAATAAAACTATTTTAAGAATAGATTGGAGTATATTAGAACCTTTTATGTTCCAATGACTGCTATCAACAAAGTAAAACAAGAACCCACGGAGTGGAGAACATGCATCTGATCCCGGGTGTGATGAGGAATTTGAGTCTGGAATGTACAAACCTTACAACTCAACAGAAAAAC